TTCCAAAGAGTCCTAGGGTTCAGTCTGGAAAGAATCACTGTTTGCTGAAGGATAAGAAAAGTCCTTTTCGTTACTCCTCAAACTTAAAGTCCAGACCCAAGTCCAGCACCCAATCTGCAAATAAACCTTGGAATTCTAAGGCCCCCCAAACCCTCAGTTAAGTCTCCATCAGCAGGAGGGTGCGCCTCCACATTTGGGGGTAGACGTTGGGGTGTCAGCCTTTGCAGACTCTTGGACATCCTGCATTAGCATCTGAGGTGCTTGGGTGCAGAAAGTGGTTTCCATGGGCTACAAGTTAGAGTTTTGCCCTCAACCCTCTCTCTTTGATTCCACCCTTTCAACCTGCTAGTGTCAACGTACCAAGTAACAGTCCCAATCTTTTAGAGGTTTGTGTGCACCCAGAACCTTCAGAAATCTGTCTTCTGGAACTGACTTGTTATATGGAATATCTAGGTTTAGTCCTAGACACCTCTCAAGCCAGTGTTTTCTTGTCTAGGAGAAATGTAAAACTCTCTTCTCCCAGACGTGTACTCTTCAGTCCAAGATTCATTCGACTTCCTTTCTACATTAAACAAAACATCGAAGTGTTTCTAAAGGCTTAAGGATTTTACCTTAATGCATTCTCTGCGTTAAGGTAAAAACCATTCTGTGCTGCAGAACCCCCCCCCTTCATTATACTTACCTGAGCCCGATTTCAAACCAGCATAGTGCCTGAGAGCTCTCTCTGCACTCTCCCAACTCACAGGGCAGATTGATAGCAGCAGGACAAATTTGCTTCCGCTGCTGTCAACCAAATTCTGTAACAAGGAATCGGGGTGGGGCTGAGCCAGGCGGAGAGGCTCAGGATCAAGCCCACATGAAAACACCCATAGGAAACTGATTCCTATGTAGGCGCTTGTTGAAGATGAAGAGCCAGGAGCGACAGCGGGGGATGCCAGAACCTCAGATCTGGGCTGCTCTGTGCAAAACCATTACACAGAGCAGGTAAGTGTGACGTGTTTTTTGTGTTTTTTTTTTGTTTTTTTTAAATATTAAAAGTGCCCTATATTTTGGAAGAATCTTGGGCGCCTTGCCAGTGTAAGGGAATTGGAGTTTGGAGGAGTCTTGTCTTCTGATCAACATCTTGGAACGTCAGTCAATTTTTTTTTTTTTTTTTTTTTTTTTTTCTTGCCTGCAACGTTTGAGCTCCCAGCTGGAGGGGCATCTGATCTGTCAGACAGTGCCAAAGTAGTTGCTTTTATTAACTGTCGGGAGGATGGGAGCAGTCTCACTATGGCAAAGAGTGGTAGAGGGCATCCTCTCTTGGGCAGAACTCCATGTTCCAGTCTTGTCAGCTGTTTACATCCCAGATGTGGGCAATTGGCCCTTGGGGATGTGGTGCATATACTTCATGGTGTTCAGACCTATGTCACAGGTGGAGGCTACCGTATGTAGACTTCCTGGCCTCCAGGTTCAACAACAAACTGGACAAGTTTGTCTCCAGCTACAGGGATCTTCTTGTGCAGGGATGTCCAAACTGCAGTCCGCGATGGCTATGAAACAAAAAATCTTAAACTTAAAAATCTAGATTTTTTTTTTTTTTTGGAATTTTTTGTAAAAATACGTTTACACTTGGTAAATGCATATGACCAAAGAAAAATTTGTCTCTTTACTGGACTTTTATAAGTTTTATCTTCCCAAAGAAAAATATCCCACTTTACAATCACGTCTTATTGTTGTCGATATTCAGCAGCACCTATATATGTGAGCAACTATTTTCAAGGATGAAGCACACAAAGGGCAAAATTAAAGCCAAAATATCTGATGAGCACCTTGAGAATTCATTGAAAATTGCTACTACATCCATCGAACCAGATGTTGATGTGTTAGTTCTCAAAAACAGTGTCAAATATCGCACTTGTTTTAATTTGCCCTCTTTTTACTTTTCTAATAAAAAATATTACAAAAAACATTTATTACTTAGATTGTTAACGTATGATCTGCCCGACTTTTTCTGCTCATCAGCTATCCTTGCTGTTAGTGTATTTTATTTGTTGCCCAAGACAATTCCTCTTCTTCCAATGTGGCCCAGGAAAGTCAAAAGGTTGGACACCCCTGCTCTAGTGGATGCTCTGGTGGCTCAGTGGGATCAGTACATACTCATCTAAGCCTCCCCCCCCCCCCCCCCCCCCCCTTAAACCCCTTCCTCTTCTGGTTTACTGGATCAAAATTAAGGGCATTCCAGTGATCCCCAAAGCTCCAGACTGGTCTGGCACTCCTACTGGGTAAAACTCCCAGCAGACGTTCCATGGACTCTTCTAGATTGGCTGACAGGATCTTCCGTCTCATGGCTCAATTTACCTTTCTGCTTCCTGGTTGCTGGCTTTAACAGGAAGGCTGCTGACGTTCAGATTCTGAGGGATAGAGGCATCTTTGAATTGTTTTTTTCCCACAATGCTAAAAACTAGAAAGTCTACTTCTTGCAAGGTTCTTCACCACACATTTAAGTCATACTTTGCTGCAAGGTGAGTGTCTTTCAAACCAGTCAAATCTTTGCCTATTTACAAATGGGTCATCTTCAGCATTTGGCCCTCAGCACTGTCAAGGGTCAGGTCTTGACTCCTGTTAACTTATTGAAGAGACCACTTGGGGGTGTGTTGCATGTAACTCCCCCTGTGCGGTGCAGTGGGATCTGAATTTGGATCTCCTGGCACTTTAGAAACTGCATTTTGGACTTATTAGGAATATTCCCCTTTCCACACTTGGGTTTCTTGATTCTATCCCCCCTGCAAGGCAACTATCTGAACTGGTCCTCTAATAATAATAATACCAAAAAATAATTCTGGTCTTGCATGCAGATAAGGTAGTGTTGAGGTCCAGAACTTTCAGAACATTGTTCTTCCGCCCCTCTGTCTTGCTCCAGTTCTTCAGAAAGATCTCCCTATACTGCTTGGATGTAGCTCAGGTTTTGATGGTTTATCTCGCATCTACTGCTTTCTTCAGAAACTGACCCTCTGGTTGTTCAGGCCTCATCTAATGCTAGCTTTGGACATAGGTTCCTTCAGGTGACTGTTGTGCAGGCAGTCTCCAGTTCTGATTTCATAGGCTTGTTAGCACTTTGTTTGCTGTTCCAAACCCCTCAGTTAAATAGCTTTTGGATTTCCCAACAGTATCTGACTGCTTGTGCCAGTGTCCAATACTCCTGTAGGCAGTAATATAACCTGACAGTATATAATTGCATCCTGTGTCCCTTGATGGACTCCAAAAATTATACGGTACAAAAATCTTATTTACACAAAATAGAATTACGATATACAGTAAGGTTCCATTCACACGTGTGCATCTTGTCATGCGACTTTGGACACAAAGTAATGAGATTTGAGTGCCAGAAAGTGTAAATTCGCATCGAAAATCATATCAAGGTCACACTGGAAATCATTCAACTTTGCAGTTGCACAAGTGTTAGTGGAGCCTTTAGTAAACCTTTTGTATCAAAGCATCCCACGTACATTATGTACAAATGTACATTAATGAATTTCTACACTTGTTAGTGCTTTGAAACCATAATTCTTAATTTTCTAGTACTTCTGTTCTTTTTATATTTTCAAAATTTTGAAAACAATTATTCTTTGTTAGGGTGCTTTCATGCTTCACTGCTGAAAAAAACGTGTTAAAAACACATGCGTGCTTGCCATGTTTTCCGGACTTCTGACTCCAACCATGCACCTGTAAAACCTGGACATGTGATTCATGTGCATTTTCTATAGAATTCAGTGGAGATGGGTTTTTGAAAAGTTCACCAAAGATGCAGCATGCAGGACTTTTAGAAACACCCTGCAGCGCACTGGTGTAAAGAGTTCCATAGGATTTAAAGGGATACATTTTTTCATTCAAATTTTTTACCCCCCAAAAAAGCATCAAAAACGGATCAATGTGAAAGGGCCCTTAAAGTGTTTACCACAAATAGTGCTTAGTTTGATTATACAGTTTTGCTTATTCTGTATTCCACATTGTTGGACCCTTGCCATTCTGGCATCATCCACAAACATGTCCTTGCCCTTGTAACTATTTTGTTTCACTTCTAAAGCAATCGTGGGAAAAGAAAACTGACCCCAGAGAAGAATATAAACACCAATAATGGGGAAGATTCTTTGTCAAAAAGCAGGGTTATCATAGTAACACTACACAGTTGTTTTTCCTTATAAACCACTTTTTCTAGCACAGGAGTTCTATTCTCAGTTTAGCTATGCATTGATTAACTAGTGACCAAGATAAAGCTAGTTCCTTTTGTTTTCAAGGCACACTTCTGCCTCTATGGATATAAATATGTAAACTCGGGAGATTCACGTATGCATGTGTATGTGTGAAGTAGTGTAAAAAAAATAAATTGGGGGTTCTTGGTTTGAGCCAGCATGTCCAACCACCCACTGTGACTTATTTTGCCATATTTGTACCATATAAATAGTTCAAGCATTCTTGGAAAGTAGACCTTCTTGTAAAGGCATATTTTGCTCTTTTAGCAATCTGGTTTGTCTCTGGTTCTGAGCATTTTTGCATTAATACCTGATATACCTGGCACTTAACAATCTCCAAGCAATGAGATTGCTGCCATGAAGCATAATTCTTCATTGTTTACAATAATACAAAGGTAACTGTTGTCCTCCACAGACTAAAGAAAATAGAATATACTACGTCCTATATGTGATCTGTTTGGGTGTAATGATTATAGTTTACAGCTGAGAAAAACTGAATGGTAATGGCTAAGGCGCACACTGGGTGGTCTGTTCTTAATAATGTATATTATACATAAGGATTGATGGTAATATGTTAGAAGCTTGCAGTTTGTGATTCTCACTCTCACTGCCATTCCCAGTCCCATCCAGGCTTCGCTACTGTGTGTTAACCCCTCTTTAGCTGGAATGGTTAGAAAATTTTTTGTTAACTATTCAGCTTTTTCATTGCCTGTTTGCTTTGTTAATTTGCCTTAATTGTTGTGTTTGTCAAGTTTTACTCCTTTTTGGTTTCTCTTTTACTTCTTCTTTTTTTTTTTTTTTCCCCATCAGTCTGTGGAAAGCGGTACAAGAACCGGCCTGGTTTGAGCTATCACTATGCACATTCTCATTTGGTTGATGAAGAGGGTGCAGGAGCAGAGGACAAGGAGGATTCTCAGCCACCTACCCCTATTATGCATAGACCTGAGGAGCAGAAATGTAAGTTTTGATCTAATCTTAAGTCATATGTTTTGTTTATATGCTTTTGTTGTTGGTTGCCTGTACTGGTAATCTTCCAAACAAATTTGTTATCTTAAAAAGTATGCTTGGTTATCCTTGTATTGTATACATTTACACCGTTTTTGCATTGACTTTGTTGGTGCCTGGGAAATTATTTAACCAGTACAGTCGGGCACCTAGCATTCCTAGGAGGTCAGCAATGACAGATTTGTTATTTCTATTCCAAAAGATGTCCTGAGAAATATGGAGACTGCTATTGCTGACCTCTATTTCTGGAAATGGCTGGAACAAATAAGTAGATGGACATCTGAATTTCCTGATCCACATACTGTGTATATTCTGGGTCATTGACTCAAATTATTGAAGCCGGTGGGTCAGCTTAACAGCCAGGCTTCCAGCATTTGCTGAGCTTACTGAAAAACTTAACACCAGACAGGTTAACTATAAAACAGGAAGTTGGGCAAACAGCTTTGCACACAGTTTAAATAGAGTGGCTAGAAAAAGTATTTGAACCCTTTGGGAAACACTGGCTTTCTGCAGTAATTTGCCATAAAATGTAACATGATCCTTATCACAACAATAGACAAACACAATATGCGTGTTTATTGAACACACCAGTTAAACATGTGCAGTGCTGGAGGTAAAAGTAAGTGAACCCACGGAATAATTAAATAAAAGCTAATTGGAGTCAGTTTGCACACCTGGAGTCCAGTTAATAAAATGAGTTTGTGTGGTTTAGAGCTACTTTGATGAAAGACATCAAACATGTTAAGATTTCTGTTCATAAGAAGCATCAGCTGAGGTGAACCATGCTTTAAGAAAAAATTAGCTCACTGAAGACATATGATCAAGATTAGTTGATCTGCATAAGGCTGGAAAGGGATACAAAGCAATCTCAGTGTTTAGGTATTCATTGGTCGAAGAACAAATTCTCTACAAATGGAGACAGTTTACTGTGGCTACTCTTCCTAAAAGTGGACATCCAGCCAAGATGACTCCCAAGAGCAACACAGAATCTTCAATGAGGTAAAGCAGAACTCATAAGTAACAGCTAATGGCTTGAAGACATCACTGGAACTGGCAAACATCCTTTTTTGCGAGTCTGCCATAAGTCTTTGATCAGACAGGGTGTTCATGGAAGAACACCATGAAAGAAGCTGCTGCTCTTCAAAACAAAAAAAAAAACATTGCTGCAGTCCTAAAGTTTGCCAAAGAGCATCTTGGCAAACCACAATGCTACTGGGGAAATGTTTTGTGGACTTTGAAACAAAAGTTGAATTGAAGGTCACTCAGCACTAGGTTTGGTGCAAAAAGGGCACAGCTTATCAACATCAAAGCATCATCCCAATAGTGAAGGAAACCTCATGATTTCATGTTGTTTTGCTGCCTCGGGGCCTGGACCACTTGCCATCATCGAGGGGAGTTTACAAAAATAACCTAAAGGATAATGTCAGGGGTGGCTGTCAACCAGCTGAAGCTTAGTAGAAGTTGGGTGAGGCAGCAGGACAATGACCCTCAGCATCAAAGTAAATCCACCACAGACTGGCTTCAGAAAAGGAAAATGTGTCTTTTGGAATGCCCAAGTCAGAGCCAAGACCTTAACCCCAAAGAGATGCTGTAGAATGACCTCGGGAGCTAGTCACACTAGACGACCTACAAATATGTCAAAGCTGAAGCAGTTTTGTAAAGAAGAATGGTCAAAAATATTCCTCCTGAATGTTGTTCATGCTTGATCCAGAGCTACCGAAAGTGCATGCTTGAAGTGATTGCTGCCAAAGGAGGTCCAATCAGTTATTAACTTCAAGGGTTCACTTACTTTTTCTCCAGCACTGTAAATGTTAATGGGTGTGTTCAATAAAGACATGAGAAATTAGAAATGTTTGCATATTATAAGCTTAAACACATTGTTTTTAATGTGATTTATGCCTTGTACTCACTATAAGAAGTTTTTTTTTTTTATTTTTTATTCATTCAATCCAGTGGGCTGAATGACAAAAAAAACTGACAACTTTCTAACAGGGCGACTGCCCCCCCAACCCCCCTGCCAGAACACAAAGGTCAGTATTCGCAATCATTGGCTGAGAGCGCTGATCTGATGCTGGTTTTCGAGCATGCCTGTTCGACAGCAGCCAGTCATCAGACTGTTGGACAGGGAACTGTACACACGAGCTGAAAGTCAGCCGGTTTCTACTGTACAGGCTGATTTAGGACGATATTTGGCCCATGTGCACTCACCATTAGATGAGGATAGCATTTTATGACAAAATACCTCTAAAAACCAGTTAATTCCAAGGGGTTTACGTATTTTTTTCTTGCCACTGTATATGAAGTGTTTTTATCTGCCAAAAGATTGATTATGTTCAGCTAATGTTGGGTTCCCCCTCAAGCCCTCACTCCGCTTAACACTTCTCTTACTCTTCGCTTATTAGCACTGTAGTAGAGCATGATTGGCTCCTAGTGCTGTCATTTTTTTCCAGTTTTAGTTGTGGCAGAGGCAGGAAGAAGGCATACAAAAAAATGTATTTACATGTGCCAGCTGCATGTAACCCTTTCACTTCTGGAGCAGTTTTTTGCACGTTTAACAAAAACATTTTGGGTTTGAAGATTACCTAAAACCCCCAAAGCATTTTATATTCCCAGAGACCCTGGAGAATAAAACAGAGATAGTTCCAATTTTATATGTCTCACGATATTTGTGCAACAATTTATCAAGCACAGAATTTCAGTAAAAATACATTAAAGTTAATATCTTAATTGTACAGTACAGGGCACAAGCTTGATATTCATAGACACTAGGTTATAAGCTGGTACCTTCAGGTGGTTGGACTCACTCCTAAAGAAAATCTAAAGACAAAACCTTTTTTTCCATTTCAGATAGAATAATGGAGGGTTATATTTACTTTCAATTTTTTTTTTGTTCTGAGTCCATTGGGGAGATTTCCCTTCTCTCATTGCCAAAACAGGAAGCGAGAGGAAATCCCTAAAAAAAAAAAAAAGATGGATTCCCTGGTGACAGTACTAGTACTACATTGGATGATTTCCCCTCTATTCCTGTTCTGTTGACAACCCAAAATGTGGGATTTTCTTTTACTTTTTGTGATAATGGAAAAAAGGATAAATAGGGTAAATCTCCATAACAGGGACACAGACAGCAATAAATATCTGACGTGTTCTAATCCCTCTCCACTCTATGCAAAATTGAAAGAAAAAAAAGTCTTGCCTTCAGTTATACGTTAACTAGTTTATATTACTTCAGATTGTTCAATCAACTCTATATTCAACTCTTCAGTGTCTTCTAACATAATAGAAACCGTGCACCTGGATTGGTGCAACCTCAGTAAAACCTTGGGCATTGTATTCAAGGGCACCGGACTCTGCTTGGGCACTTAGCTTGAAATGATATTACTTGTTGTACATTACACCATAGGTTGCACAGTTTACTGCTGCTTCTGCCTAGAGCCCTTTATAAGGTACTCGGGTGCTTCTTCCTGCCCATTTGCCATGAGGACTTGGCTACATGGCGATCACCACCTGGGTTGCTGCGTACTCTTTCTCACACACTTTCTACATTTCTGCACCTACTTTGAACGTCCCATAGGGGAAGAACCTCACTAATAGCAGTGGCAAAAACCAGTTACAAGGGAACCACCACAAAAGCTTAGGCAAAGATTTGCTATGCAGAAGGTCTGCGTAACAGTCAGTCTTGGAGCTCAGAGAGATAAAAATGGCTTTTTTCCTCACTAGACCCCCCTTTAGAAACACCCAGTTGGAATTCAGTCAGTCAATGCTGCAGCTGTGGCCTACAGCAGTCACCAAGGGACTACCAGGAGTCATGCATCCTTGAAGGAAACCAGCCAGATCACGTCATGGATGTGGAAACACTGTCCAGCAATCTCTGTTGTCCCCATTCCAGAAGTGGACAATGGGAAGGCAGATTAGCTCAGTTGCTACCACCTGGAGTAAGAGAATAAGCCTTGATATCTTCAACCTGATATGTTCGAGATGAAGGACTCTAGAGGTGTACATACTTGTCTCCAATTTCAACAGTCACTTCTATTTCTGACCTAAACCAAGAATCCTTAGCGACTGGCTTCACATGCTTTGATAATTCCCTGGATTATCTTCAGGCTAATTTATGACTTTCCTTCACTTACAATTCTGTCTCGACTGCTCTGCAAGATAGAGCAAGAGAAGAAACCCGTGATCCTCATTGGACCAATCTTGCTTAGATCCACCTGGTACACAGACATACTCAGACTTCTAGGAGACAAACCCGCACTGTTTCCAAACAGGTCAGACCCTGCTGTCTCAAGGCCCCCATCCCATCCTGCTTCTCAGTCACTGGCTGTTGAAGCCCAGGTCTTGAGTGACAGAGGGATCCCAGTCTGTCATTCCCACATTGCTAAATGCAAGTAAAGTCACTTCCAGAAAGATCTACTATTGTACCTGGGAATCCTTCTTTGCCTAGTGTGAACACTTGCACTTCACTCCCAGAGATTATTCTGTGCTAGTTCTGGCTTTCCTACAGTTGGAACCAGATCTTGGCCTTTAGTACTCTTAAGGGACAGGTTTTGGGCTTGTCCATTCTTTTCCAAAAACCTCTGGCTTCGCCTTCCTTTGTAAAGGAATTGTAATTATTCCAGTTTTTCTCTTAGATCAAACCACCTTTACAGCACCCTTGCTTCCTTGAAACCTCAATTCGGTTCACTGCTCTGCAGAAACCAACCTTTCAACCCATCGCGGATCTCCCCTTGGACATTTTCTCCTTTAAGGCACCCTTCCTGGTGGGTTTCATGTCTATCATTAAAGTAAAAAATAGTGTTGCGCTGCTGAGATTCTATGACCAATAATTGTGAAATAAATATCAAAGCTCTCATATGATCATACATCCATAAATATTGCAAACTATAACATATAATCATACTTGGGCACAATGTATAATGTGAAGTCCAAAAATAGGTGAAGAAGGCCCTGCTTAACCACAGTATAAGGTGTATTCATGACTTCAGGCAATAGCTGATATGTTACTTCTGCATGTAGGCTTATAACACCTTAAACTGCACGTCAAGCTTCAAATCAAACAAAAGTGCTTCTGTGCAAAAGATGTGCCCTCACCATAAATATAGGTCAAATGTGCCTTCCCCTTGCCTCAGGGGTTGATTACAGGACTCCAAATATCTTCCCAAGCATGAACATTTGGGTATAAGTAGCAGCACATGAGGATTTGCTTTATTTATCACGTCTATCAGACGTGCTCGCATTTAGCGACTTTCTTGTAAAGAGTCTTTACTCGTTCACAAGGACAAAGTGCTCTTGTTCCCAAGACCCTTCGTTCTTCCTAATGTGGTGTCAGCCTTCCACCTCAATGAGGACCTAATCCTTCCTTTGTGCCCTGCTCCAAAGCAGCCAAGGAGGGTTGCTTTTTGCTGTCTGGACATGGTCAGAGCCTTCAGTCTAATTCAAGGCTACAACGTACATCAGGAAGATGAACTCCTTTATTGTCCAGCCCTCAGAACCTCACATAGGACATCCTGCTTCAAGAGCTACCATTACTATGTGAATAAGATAACTCCTCTCAAGAACTTACACCCTAAAGCCCTGGTGCCCAACATGTAGCCCCTTGGCACTTTTGTGGCCCTCTGGGCCCCTGCAGACACTTGTCTGTGTTTGTCTTATTGCCCTGTTATAGCAATGATTTCTAGCAGTCTTATGTAATATGCATCCAATCCTTGACTGCTTCTGAAGAATGTCCCCAGTCTCCAACAACTCCTATAGCATGTTCACAATCTCTGAAATTTTTCTGCAGCATGTCCACAGTCTCTGCCCATCTTTTAGTATGTCCACAGTCTCTGACAATATCTTGTATCATGCCCATAATCTTTGACAATATCCTGTTGTGTTTCTGCTAGCTGCACAGCAAGCTTCCAGCACAGAGACCGGGCCCTCACCATGATCAGGACCAAGGAGTCCCTGTTCCTGGTCACCTTGTCGCTGTTATAGCCCCTGGTTGGCTATCACACTGATAAGTCACTGTACAGGCCACCCGTGTGTGTGTGTGTGTGTGTGTGTGTGTGTGTTTTTTTTTTTTTTTTTTTTTCTCCTCTGAATGGAGAGAAATATGCATAGTATCTTTCTGTCCTTGCATTGCAGAAAGATGTAAACAAACAAAAAGTGTGTGGGGGGAAAAAAAATAGCTATATCAAGGTTTTATCTAGGTTAGGTCTAACATAAGCATGTTTGGTACTAATGTGATCGTCAGTAGCAGGGGAATTTATTTTGGGTTGTTCTTTGGTGATTACTCATGGTAATATCAAGAAATATACAGCTAAGTATAAAATATATATCTATATATATTTTTACTATTTTAGGCCAGTTTTCCTTTCATAATAAAAAAAAAAAAAAAAAAAAAAAAAAAAAATTCAGGATATATCTGTTACTATTTACCACCGACAGAAAATCCAATTTTCCTGACAGAAACTAGATAAAATTCACCTGGATACACAAAGTAGTTACAATGTGATATATATATACAGTTTTGCTAACACATGTCAAAGTTGCAAATTTGTATTCAGGCATTAACATTTGTTTTACTTTAGTGATGTAGGGGTTAAAGTATAACACAACCAAACTCATGTTGGAATAGTCACCTCTGTGCTTTTATTCTACCCCTTCTCTCCTAGCCACCACAATTTACTGCACCACCTTCTGTCGCCCACTGTGTTGGACCTGTAGTTGAACACTCACAAAAAGCTAGACAGGAAGATTCACAGGCAAAATATTGTGAGAATTGTTTTTTGCGAGAGTAGCAATTAACTCCCCAATTTCATGATCACTGGGTTCCTATTTGGATAACATTTTTAGGTCTATTGCAATCTGTGCCTGGTTACTACATTCTGAAGCGGTATATAAATCTCATGCCATTTTATTTCTCTTTTTTCCCCATTTAGCTAAAAAGGGTCCAGATGGTCTAGCATTACCCAACAATTACTGTGACTTTTGCCTCGGAGATTCAAAGATCAACAAGAAGACAAACCAGGCGGAAGAGCTGGTGTCTTGCTCAGACTGCGGTCGCTCTGGTATGAGAGGCAGGGGAAAAAGGAGGGTGATACAGTGAGCATCTTCAGCTGTGAGAATTCCATAGTGCAGCAACTGCCTGCTGCCCAAGAAGAATGGGTGGTGTAGACTGTCTGCAGTTTAAGTTATTAACAGATTGTCTAAGACGCTGAGCAATGTGCGTGCCCCCTCCCCTTACCTTTTTAGCATTCACCTCATTTTGTTAGAGACAGTTGATCATTGTACAGGAGATGGCTATTTATACATTTTAATATTTTGTGGTGCAATAAAATGATATAAACATGTAAAGCTATTATTTCTAATCACCAAATGCTTGCAAGGTGAGAAATTTAGCAACAATAACCTGACTATGCAAATATATGCTGATAGTGTTAGCATACAATAGAAATTAACGCCAAGGAATTTCCAACAGCTTGCCCCCAAAAATGATAAACAGTACATATGAGAAGTGTTTAAATGTAGAAGATTTTACATTTCAAATGCATTTGCATTGCTTTTAGCAGGAAAGTTTATCAAGCCATATAATGAATGAGAGCCGGTTCGGTGCTTTTCAACAGCAGTACTCATGTTCTCTTCCCAGAATGAAGTGTAAAATGTGCATATTATAAGCCATTATTAATAAACAAGGATTTGCTTCTACTGAAAGTGGAAACATGACCTGTATGTTGCTTCCTAAGACCAGGGTTTACAAAAACACTGTTATGCAGCCTGAGATGCATACAATTATTTTGAACAAATTCTGGATGATTTACTGAGCAGCAACACCACACTCACTATCCTGTATCAAATGGTTTGGGGGGGATGAGTGCAATTAAAAATACCTTTTGGAAAGGTACATTATTGGATTTTGTTATAGTCGTCATTGAAGTTTCTCTTTTTATGTCGTGAGCTACTTGGCAGTTTTGGAATGTTTGTAAACGAATAGCATTAGTATTGCTTTTGAGCTAGAACAGGAAGAAGTAACATGAATTGGAAGACTATCAAATTCATAATTTCACCACTTGACATCCGGGCCAATGCTAAAATTGCTCACATAGATGTAAAAATGCATTTTTTTGCTAAACAAATTACTTAAGCCCCTAAATATGATATATTTTCTGAAAGCAAAGGCCCTGCAGATTAAAATGCTGACTGTTGCAATTCTTTATGTCATGCAATATTTGCTCAGTGGTTTTACCAAACACATATTTTCAGAAAAAATACACTTTTAGTGAACACAATAATACCCAATTTTTTGGTAAAATATAAAAGATGTTTTAAAATTGTGCTAATGGAATGGCGACAAACTGCGGTACATTAAATGATCCATAGTTAACTATTTAAAAGCCTTTACGAATTACCGAACTTAGAGTTAAACAGAAGGACTGATGCTAGAATTATAGCTCTCACTCTGACGTTTGCGGCAATACCTCATGTGTAATCTGTTTACATACATGCACGTTCGCATTTGCGTGTGAGCATGGGGGATGGGGCACTTTAAACAATTTTTTTAGTTTTAATTTATTTTTTTACACTGCTTTATTTTTTTATTCCACTTTTTTTTCATTCATTGTTATTTAGGTACTCTTTATGGAGAGTTCTGCGGTCTGTTGGACCCTCCAAAGCAACCAATCAAACCGACATTGGCTTGATCAGCTGCTTTGCTAGTCTGTAATGGCTAATAAATAAACAAAGAAACAAACCAGAAGTCACAAAATCCTTCTCGCTTCTAGTTTCTTAGGGCACAGAAGAGATCGGAGAGCGGAAGTTCCTCCCATTCCTCATAATGCCTCTGGTGTGACAGGCCGTGTTGAGCACGGGATAGTCAATGGTGTAGCGGTGGGGCAAACATGACTGGGTAACTAGAGCTGCTCAGATCCTTTACACTAAAGAGAATCACCAACAGAAAATTTTCATATTCATACTGAGATATATATATATATATATATATATATATATATATATATATATATGTGTGTGTGCGTGCTGCAGTTAGGAAGCAGTTAATTTTTCTACCTTGGTGAAGAAATCAGATTTGAACCACCCATCAGCGCTCCATAGGTCATTGGTTGCTTTGTTTTAAATGGAGGCAGATGGTTTATGGATTTGTAAGTAAATGTATCTCTCTTAGATATAAGCAAGTTACGTGGTTCTGCATGTAATCTAAAATTCTGCTACATCCTCATTTACCCCCCACCAATTTTTTACTTACCTGTCCCCTAATCCAGCAAAATATTGATTGCACAGCCTTATTGGCCCCACACAGCAGCTTGGCAAAGTCTGTCCTGGGCCCACATGTGTGCCACACTTTCTGATCAGTCCTATGGAGAGTTCCCACTTTGTTTCAGTGAAGAACGAACACTTCATAAGAATCCATTTCAGATGCTGATTCACTAACATGGACCCAGCACAGAAGATTTGAACAGCAGCTGTGTGTCGCTGACATCTCGCTGGATTGAAGACAGGTGAGGATGAGCTGGGAGCAGAAAGGTTAGTCAAAGTACCACAAGCCTGCACATAATACACAACTTGCTTACCAATAATCCATGATAGTAAAAACAGGTGGTAAATCTGTTGATTTTTTTTTTTTCTCTTTGGCAGCGGGTAAGTGGTTTAGGTATGAAGCTAGCCACACACTCTTCACACTGTACAATCTCTAACAGACTTACCAACTACTGGGTAGGGCAAGAGCCTCTCTTGTTGGATAAGAATTTAATACATTGTTAGTACATTTCAATGGGACTGTATAGTGGGTTTGATTTCTTTGTGATCTAGACCAGGGGCCTCCAAACTTTTCAAACTTCAGTCCTTCAGACTTTAGGAGGACCGGGTTGTGGCCAGTAGGGGTAAAAATGTCCTGGTCCCAGCATCAGTGAAAATAAACGTGGCTTCAGGATTGGTGGTCAGTAGGAGGAATAGTGCCCCATCTTTGGTATCAGCGGGAGGAATAGTGCCCAATAGTTTATATCAGTGGGAGGAATAGTGTCCCATTGTTGGTTACAGAGGGAGGAATAGTGCCCCAAGGGCCAGATAAAGGCTAGTAAAGGGCCGAATCCAGCCCTTGGGCCGCAGCCTGGAGACCCCTGGTCTAGACTAAAATATGCTATTAATTTTTGTAGTGGAGTAAATGAAAGAAAAAAAAACCCTTAGTATGTTACTGTGTAATTTTGTTCAGTCAATAGATGGCGCTCTAGTCATCTTTTCACATCATGAGCTTGACTGCTTTCCAGCTGTTCTAAAAGAAGCCCATTGTTGACAGAACTCAGTCCTCAAAGTAATGGCTCATCCCTAGCCAGAGGTTTCTATCAGACAAATAGAGCAGCAAAGCATGCTGCTCTGCTTTTCTATCTCTTTAGATTGCCCAAAGTACTCCAGTAAACCTTTGTCCTGTAAAATAAGCAATTTAAAAGTATAAAACGTACAAAAATTATAAAATAACTCAAATAACATTGACTCAAAATCATTTTAGTTTACCTTTTAAGAAGATTGTAAAGAGACTGTACAATCAAATTGCGTGGCCAACTTCTTGGGTCTGAAGTGTTTAATAGGCTCTTGTTGGTGTTTTTGGTTCTGCTTTCTCAGAATAATACTCTATAACATATATATTCACTATTATTTTAGAACAGCATTGTGTTTTAAAAAAGAGACAGACCTTGATTCATAAAACAAAACAAAAAAAAAAATGACTGTGTTTAACAAGCTGACTATTATTTACAAATGGCTATCTGCCTTTATGTAAAATTTGAGTTAAAGCTGAGCTCCAGGTTATATTTGCATTGCATACTTATCTTGGTCCAACTCGGCAAAATGTAAGGATGCATTACTCATACCCGATGGACTGCTGGAAATCACTGTAGTAGTCTGCACTACTAGAGTGAATAGCTACAGTCTTTCAGGTCCTGTGTGAGCGGCTACCCCACTGCGCACTGACCACAGGGGTCTATCACTTGGCACCACAGTCATTCAATAATGCCTTTTTTTTTTTTTTCAAAGAATACAAGGTGTTCTTTGATTGGTTGAAGTGGAGATTGTGATGTCGCTGTCCTTCCTCTCTTTTATTATGAGTAATGCATACTTACGTTGTGCAATGCTGTATGTAAGTATGCAATACAGATCATTTCTGGAGTTCAGGTTTAACGAGCAGCAAAACTTATTGTGCACTTCACGAGGTTTGACACCTGAAGAGAATGTGCTACTTCTATGGTAGACTTGGTTTCTGTGTAGAGATCACTATGACTTTTTCCATTAACATCATCCGTATGACATGCCAAATTAGTGACTCATTTGTAGAACAGGTAACAACCGTTTCTTCAGACAACATGGAATATGTTAATCCACTTGAGCAATGGAAACTGCTGCGTTCAGAACACTTTGACTCTGGTCAGATTGTCCTTTCGTTCATGAATCTCCTCCTTTTACTATTTTATTACATTTGTCTGTGGGTCACCCACATTTTACAAACCCACACAAGGATTTAGCCACAATGACACCAGATCAGTAGAAGGTATGTAAAGATGGTTCAGTTTTTAGTTTTCCTACGTTCACTCATTCTAGCAACTGTCAGGTTATTACTGAAACCAAAGCTGGCCTAGGTTTTTTTTTCCTTAATAGGCCTGCATGGTTTTTTTGGTGTGCCTTAATTTCAACTTTAAAAAATGATCCATATGGAAATAATTTAGATTTATTGCCATTACAGAACATTTTACTTTTGAAATCTTTAACAGTTGGTTTATTTTTAGAGCACTTTATTTACATGGGTGAAGTTGAGAGTTGTACATGATTTCTCGTTAGTCTACTGTAGATGACATGTCTCCTTAATTAAGCCTTTGGGAAAAATAGTGCCTGATCAGTAATATAATAAAAATCAGAAAAAGTGAATCTACCAGAAATTGTTTGTGAAGGTGTTGGCACCAAGTCTATTATTCTTACCCTTTTATTACTTAGTTACTGGCCCAAAACAAACAAACAGGCAAGTTTGGCATTCCAACTTCTGTAGCTCCTTGCTTTCAGTGATAATTTTCTCATTTGTCCATCAAAAATGTATTCTGTAGGTCATGACTGATCCCCTAGGTAAGGGAGAAGGGATTTTGCCAATGAAAAAGTATATGTAATGTCAATCACACTTCAACTGGGTAGCAGGGAGCAGATGGTATAGCTAGGAGGGATTAGGGATTTGAAAGAAAAACCGATGCAGTATTTGGGAGGGGTGTCCTTAAATGCCATTTTGTTTCTATGGAAAGGGGTAGCTTTTAAAACTGTTACTCTGTCTCATTGTTGTAAAACATACTTTGCATCCAATATATTTAAAAAAAACAGGTTATTGTTATTGACTGCAACAGCTGTTCTTTACGGACTGTGTTGTATAGAAAACAAAGTGATCTGCTGTTCTTCCTTAATTCAAGTCCACTGGTATACATTCAGTTTATCTAGTTTTCCTTTGTGATCACCAAACCCTGGAAAAGGGTTGTAAAATAAATCAATTCTGCTTATGCTGTTCTGATCAATCTCACATTAAAAAAGGGTTAAACTCAAATTACGCCTATCCTTACATACTTTTTCAGTCTATACAACCATATTAGTTTATCACCTGTAGGCCAGATATGGTTATATGACAACATCATAGTTATACTTCATTTTAAAAGTGTGACACCATAATAAAGTTGTCTACAATCATTTGGAATAGTCTGAGCCCCATTTCTCTTGCGATCGTAGGACATCCTTCCTGTTTGCAGTTTACTCCAGTGATGATGGCTGCAGTGAAGACTTATCGTTGGCAGTGCATTGAGTGTAAATGCTGCAACATCTGTGGGACATCTGAGAATGATGTAAGTAAATGTTGTTTACCATTAATTGAATATAAAGGAAACCTGTACTGAAGAAAATCTAAAAGTTGCAAATACATGGCATTTTGAAAAGACTGGTTTCCTGGCTGTTGCTGAATTTGGAACTTAAGGAGTTTGATTGAAGCACGTAGCAAGTGAAGGGGGAACTGATCTGCATGCTTGTTCTGGGTCTCTTTATGTAAATATTAAAACCAAGGGTCAGCATCGATTAACATTGGCAGGTTATGAGTTGTCATTTGGCCTCTGTGCCACTATATCTGCTTGTTCTGAGGTTTTTTCAGCTCAGGAAAACATGTTTAATAATGTTAGAATCTCTAGCTTATATTTAAAGAGCTGCCCAACGGATCATGTTTTCCTGGGGAAGACAGTAATGCATTTAAGCAAATGACAAAACCTCTAAGTGCAGGAGTGCTAATTAATAATTAAATGCAGTAACCCATAGTAACCAGTCAGGATTCACTCTGTTAAACTCCCACGTTTGCAAGGTAGAGTTTGATGGATGACAATGGGTTACAGCACTTAGAGGTTGTTCACCCTGCAAACAAAAAATTAAAAGTCAACAGCTACAAATACTGTAGCTGTTGACTTTTAAAAAACATGCTTACCTGTCCCTGGATCCAGCTCTGTCTTCACCCGTCCCTGCTCTTCACTGGTATCTTAACTGTATGCAGCCAGCTGTGACTCTTTGCAGCTACACAGCTGGCTGTCCACTGTGCATGTGCGAGTCGCGCTGTACCCAATGAATGCTCTCGCAGTCTCTTGGGACCTTATAGGTGTCCCGAGAGACTGCGGGGAGAGGAGTGGGTGAACTTCCGGGCTGGTCGCCTTGTTGGTTGAAGCGGGAGCGGGTACCTGTCAAAATCAGGAGGAAGAAAAGCGGAACTTCCCCTTTTGGGTGAAGTTCCACATTAAAGAGCAGCACTTGGTTACCACTTTAATATGGCTGGTCATCTTGGCATTTCATGTTGTCTCAGATGTGTTCTGTACCAAGTGTGTTTTTTTTTTTTTTTTTTTTTTTTTTTTTTTTTGTTTTTTTTTGCTCTTCAATAGGATCAGTTGCTATTCTGTGATGATTGTGACCGTGGATACCATATGTATTGCCTCTCTCCACCAATGGCTGAGCCTCCTGAGGGTGAGTATATACACTTTTTCTCATTTTTTCCAACCATGGCAGGATTTGTATTTTCTTTAATAAACACTTTAATGAACATCCAATATTTTTTTTTTTTTTATATAAGTTTCATATAATAGAGAAGAAGCATCCGCCCAATATAGATTGCTTTTAATTTAGAGAAATGTTACCTTGTAAGATGGTCACAGGGAACAGAGAGGAGTGGGGTCAAATGAAAAGAAACCCAGTAGATGGAAGCATTGAGATTGCAGGATAAACTTCTTTTTTTTGTACATTCATGATGGTGTTATGTCTTTTGTGTTTATATTATCGGAAATATTTTAAAGATGTTTTCTCTGCTCTTTTAGGAAGTTGGAGTTGTCATTTGTGTCTCGATCTGCTAAAAGACAAGGCTTCAATTTACCAGAATCAAAACTCCTGACAGATCCATAAAAACAATCAATACAAGGCGCAGGCTGCAGAGAAGACCCCATGGAATTGATTACTGAACACCTTATGGGGGAGGGTTTTTTTTTTCCCTTAATTCTATAACCAGTATGCTATGAGTGTGAACATACACACATTCGTATGAACAATGTGTTATTTGGCAGTTCTTATTCATTAAAAAAACATGTAAAGATTTAGTATCCTAATCACTTTTAATATCACATTGTCTTATTAATGGACCTTTTGATCTCTTGTATGGCAGAAATTCTATATAAACATTTTTATCATGGTCCTTAAAGATTGCTAAGCCCATTGACGTTTGCCTGGGCAACCTGTATAGGGGTGCTTTCCATGTGTCTTTGGTTTTTTTAACCTAAAATGCTAATGAAAGACCATGATTGTTTTTAGTGAACGCCGAAGAGAAGATAAAATGTTGTACTGTCTTTTGCTGATTCTATTTAGTATTCACTGTAAAGGTTCTTCAGTATTGCTGCCACTACCTCCATGACATTTGGTGAACCTTCTGTGCCTTTCACTTTGATCTCCCTTCAGGTAGTGTAAGAGTGCCACATACTAAGCTTACAATAGCTTACAGCTCTTTATTTCAGCTCTAGTGTAGTTGGATGAAAAAGCTTGGCACGTAATTTACACAACACCAGTCGTAGAATAGACCAACATATACCACAAATGATCATAGTTAAACTAGCATTACTTTTATCCTCCATAGATTGTTTTTTTTTTTTTTTGTTTTGTTTTTGTTTAACCATTCTTTCCTTCCTTCTCAGGGTAAACTGGTGTGTATAGCATGAGAATATAGCTGTGTGTGTAATTTTCTGCTGCAGGTTGATCAATAATATTAAAGCTGTTAGCCTCCTCCCAAAGACTTCCCTTCACAGTACCAAACTTGCTGCTTCTCTGGGGTCTGGAAAATCTGCAGATTTGTTTTTAATCCTGTCAGCATTGGAAGATGTCACAATATTCATTATTTTTCTAGACTATACATATATATATATTTTTTAGCTATTGACCCAAAAGGGCTGTGGTTGAGCAACCTTAAGACCCCTCTCACACTTCTGCTGTTTAAAAACCTTAGAACAATTCTCAAAGTGCAAATGTTGTGCTTTTTGTTCATGTTAAAATGCATACAAAAACATCAACATACACAAAAGAAAAAAAAAATACGTATAATACATTTACTCTCTCAGTAAAATATGTTCAGGCTAAATCACACACAGTTTTTAAAGCAGGAGTGTAACTTGGGCCTTAATGCTGTGATCACATATCATGACATAAATATAATATGGTATAGGGTAATGAAGTTGTTAATGGTTGGTTTTAGTACTCAGATTCCTTTCTTATCTAGAACACATTATGAATTGCTAGGCATTGTACCTGCCAGTTCTACATTGCTGTATCTTGCTAAATTAGTTGGCAAATGTTACTTCATCATGCGTTCACCAAAAAAGATGGCTTTTAGCACAAGTGCTTTGTGTCATAGTGAACAGTAGACCCATCAAATATTGCCATGGAATTAAAGGGAATCGCTTGTGAAAATACTGTAATTTTCTTTTTGTTAAATTTCATTCTTAACACTAATTAAATAAACATGCTACATTTATATACAAAAATGGGACTTCAGCTTCAGGGCAGTATTTCTGTGTTAAAGCTTTGTGTATATTTTGTGACCGTGTGGCAGTCTTGAAAGCACAGCCATTAACCTATTACTGCCTAATTGCTCATCGGTGAAAAGATTTTAGTATGAGAAAAGATTAAAGTTTTCCTTATATAGTAAACATTACATATCTCAACTTATGCAATACTTTTATATCTGTTGTTTCACCATGTATTTGCATAGCTTGTTTAGTTGATGCCTTTCTTTTTTCAGGTTGCTTTTCCACCCACTCACTGATTTATTTACTGATGGATGAGTCTCACACTAAGGGCCAGTTCACACTACATGCGTTTGTTTTTTTTCTGCATCCGAAACACACAAAGTAGGTTATATGGTTGTCAATGTCATAGTTCACATCAGTGCTTGCAGTTCCAGTGCATTCTGGTTGTAGAAAAAACAAAACAAAACACATGCTGTATTTTTTTCGGCACAGAACTGTACTGGAATGCGGTAAAATGCATCAAAAACACACTGGAACTCTCCAGAACTCACCAAGAACACACGTCCCTGTTTAAATTGAAGAAAGACGGGAAAAAAAGGAACTGGAATGCATAAAAAAAAAGCACCGGAATACGTCAAAAATGTGCATGCGGCATTGCATCCGAAACGCATCTGGACTGTGTTTCTATAATGTAAACCGGCCCTAAGACCAGCATAGTGTTCTGCATTTTTTCCACAGATCTAAAATTTGTTTAGGGAACCATGTAACTGCTGGCATACATTGCTGATGCTTCTTTGACCTTAAATCCAGAGAGAATCTCTTCATATTCAATATACAGCACTTTGAAAAAAATATTCATACCCCTTGAAATTTTCGACAGTTTGCATCCAATCTGACAGAGCTTGAGCTATTTTGAAAAGATAAATGGGCAAAAATTTCACTCTCTAGATATGCAAAGCTGGTAGAGACATCCCCAAAAAGACTTACAGCTCTAATTGCAGTGAAAGGTGGTTCTACTCAGGGGGGCTGAATACAAATGCATGCCACACTTTTCAGATATTTGTAGAAAATGTATGATTTTCTTGCCACTTTGTGTTGATCTATCGCATAAAATACATTTACGTTGATTGTGGTTGTAACATGGCAAAATTTGGAAAATTTTAAGGAGTAGGAATACTTTTCAAGGCACTGTAATATTACAAAACTTACTCTTCAGTTAAAGGTGATGTACTTAATTACACAATAAAAACTTCATTTCAATCATTTATTGAACAAAAATATCCATAAATGTAATAGTCTGCTGTGGAAAAAGTATACCCTTGGCATTAAAAGTTGCCCCCCTGTAGCAGAAATTACTTCGTATAGCCTTTTTGTATAATAAATACTGTGCTATTGTTATAATTTCCTGTTCCATTTGCGTATGCATCAACTATGCAGCTCCTAAGAGTAAATGCACCTGCTGCATAGATGTAAAAAAAAAAAACAAAAATGCAGTGCAATGCTGATTTCAAACTAAATATGTGAAAACTTCTTTGTTATTGTGTAAAAATGTGTATGGTGTTAATATTTATATGCAATAAAGTGATTCTAAAGGCTTACACTTATAAAAAAAAAAAAAATACCAAACTTTTCTGTACTTACCTGCTCTGTGCAGTGGTTTTGCACAGAGCAGCCTGGATCCCCAGGTCCCCTGCCAGCGTTCCTGGCCTCTATCTCCTATCGGGTACCCCCACAGCAAGCAGCTATGGGGGCAGCCGAGCACGCACACTCCCCAGACGCTGCTCTGTGTGTCCATTCACACACGGAGCCGTGACTTGGCCCTGCCCCCCCTTCTGATTGGCTCACTGGCTGTGATTGACTTCAAAGTGGTTGTAAAGGCTTAAGGCTTTTTACCTTCATGCATTGTATGCCTGAAGGTAAAAAACCTCTGTGCAGCAGCTCCCCCAATGTGCACTGAAGTCTCGGCTAGCCATTGGCTCCCACTGATGTCAATCACAGCCAGTGAGAAGAGAGAGGAGGCGGGGCCAAAAGCCATGGCTTTGTGTGTGAATAGACACACAGAGCAGCAGTTGCCCCCATAGCAAGCTGCTTGCTGTGGGGGCACCTGACAGGAGCGCCGGTGGTGGGCTCAAGAGGATCTGGACTGCTGTGTGCAAAACCACTGCAGTGAACAGGTAAGTATGATGTTTATTTAAAAACAAAAAAAGAAAATTTAAGCCTTTAACCGCTTGCACGCCACCCTATAGCAGAAATATTGCTACAGGGCTGCACAGGTGTGCAAAATCACATGCATATATACACGTAATTTTGCATTTCCAGATGGGGGGAGTGCGCGAGCCATGAGCGCGCCCTACCCGTGCCGGCATTCGCGGCTGTCAATCACAAGGTCCCCACCGGTGATTACTCACCGGCGCCCAGTGATTTTCGACGGGAAGGAGAACTGTTATTTACTAACAGTTCTCCCTGTCAGCTCGGGCACACTGCTTTGGATGGCTGTGCACAGCCATCCAAAGCAGTGTGCTTACAGTGAAGCACACTTGACACCGCCCCCTAGTAAAACATCCAGCACACAATTAACCCTTTAAGGGCCCCTAATCTTAACCCCTTCCTGTCCAGTGCCATTAGTAAAATGTCAGTGCTTTTTTTTTTTGCTTAAGCACTGATCAGTGTATGTCAGTAACACCAAGTCAGTTCCTCCCAGTGCCAGAATGCCAGACGCACAGTCCCGCTGATTGCCGCCATTGCTAATAAAATTAAAAAATTCCAGTATCTATACCGCCATTTGTAAAAGCTAAAACTTTCAAGTAAATCATTTAATTTACACATATTGGGAATTTTTTTTGCAAAGACATGTAGCAGAATACATTTTGGCCTAAATTTATGACAAAATTAGATATTTAAAATTTTTTTACTGGACGTGTTTATTAGCAAAAGTCAAAAATATGATCAAAAGCAAACTGCATAGGTGTGAACTAAGCTTAAAACCAACATTCCTATTTGAAACAACTTGAAAACAAATTAAGTTTTACCTCTCGTCCTTTCTGGATTGCGCATGCCTGCAGGGCTGCGCTGTGGTGAGATCTGTCACCAGCTGTGTTCCTCAGACACAGCCGATAACAGATCTGTGTATTATCCCTGTTGCCAGTACCATGTGATCTGCTGTGACCAATCACAGCAGGTCACCTGACAGTTGTATACAATGGATGGCTTCCTTTCATGACATCCATTCTATACAAGTGTGTCTATCTGTGAATGGTCACTGATCACATGCACAGGCTGGGCCAGTCACAGCCCATCTCTATCATGTGGTTAGCCGTGGCCAATCACAACAAAAAAAGCTGAATGAATCGATTTCATTCAGTTAAATGCTTGCATATAGCAAAGAAATTATTTTCTATAAGCAATCAAATTGTGTAAAAAAAAAAAAAAAAATATATATATACTGATCACTTTCATAGTCATTGTCAGTGTAATATGAAAAGAAAATTCTTAAAAAAAAGAAAAATGTAATAAATTTTTTTTTTTAAAAATCTGTTTTTTCTTGTACTGTCACTAGCTAGTG